GGTTCTCCTAGCAGAAGCGTTTGGCGGTACTTATATGCGGCAGAGAGAACTGTCGCACAGCTACACGCCGAGAGGTAGCAAGTGGGCAGAGCAGCTGTAGAGAATTGGTTCCGCAGAAACCGAGAATTGAATGAGGAACTTTCCAATCGGATCTCATCCATTGCGCAAGAGCTAGAGCGGAGAAGGGAGGAGAGGAGACCAAGCCAGTTGGATCTGGCTAATATTCATCATATCCGTCAAGATGTGGGGAGATGGAGTACCTCGGAGTTAAAACGAATACTGGAAATGACCATCCAGCGAAAGCAGTTACTCACATGTGTCATGTTGTCGACTTGTTTTTTGTTCTTTGCTACTGATCCCCACATGTTCTGGACATTAACTCTTCGAAATTATGATGAAGTAATTTGCCGACAACGAGGAGGAAGCGAAAACAACAGGCATTTTTGGGGAATCAGAAGTCAAAACTTCTCCATAATTGCTTTTCTCTTAGTAACAGTTGTGTTCAGAAGCAGTCCGAGTGATAGCAAATGCCGACAGCAACGACCGCGGGGTGTAGTCTTTGATATGCTTTCCTTTCGGCGATTGCTTAGGGGCAAGCTGACGGCGGATTTGCCTTCTAGGATTGTGCAGGCAACGGCCATCATCGAAACGAACCAAAGAATCACGGAAAGATTAGTTGTCTCACTGATGGAATCGAACTGTTGACCCTCTTTCACGACAACAGCACCACTTCTGACTGTGCCATGCAAAATAAGATTTTTTGCAGAAAGATCGAGACGCCGACAGACTTGTTATGTTAAATAATGATGGTGAAACCGTGGATTTTACAAGTCAGAAGCAGTCGCCCGGTTTGTTTATATACTATTTCGATTTTATGCATTATTTAGAGACATACATCTGAAATTCAAGAATATGTACTTTAGACCACTGCTTTTTGCACGCTTCATTTTTGGCAGTTTTTTAGGTTTTATGTGAAAAGATCGCACGATTTTCTAGTTTTTTACTTCCTGTTTCCTTTTTTGGATTTTAGGTGTTTTAACCGAAGCTCCTACTTTTTTTGAACGTATTAGGAATGTTTGCTTTTAGCAACCTATGATATCACGGACGATGATATCGAAAAAATGTCATACACGACAGCTTCATCTTCGCCAGTTGTTCCATCGGCAGGCGATGAGTTTACGAAGGAAAAAATAGATGATAGGTGAGCGCATTTCTTCATAAATCTTTCCGGGCTGTATGTTAAATATCCTTAGGAAATACAAAAATCCTTCGGATTTTTATTTAAATGTCCGTAAATTAAGTCAGTATAACGAGTTTGACCTTATTCCTAACCTCGCAGTGGTCTTTAACATCACGTAAGTATTGATAACAAAATAAGTGCTGCACTTGCTACTGTACTGATAGCTGGAATCTCAAAAAAAAAAAAGCGCCTAGCGCTCTTTTATGATCGGAATAGTGCTCCTATTCAAAAAGAATTATTTTGACTTTAACTTTAGTTGATTCTTTTGATTTGAAGAGCTTTTAAATACCGCGCTTTGCTTCGTTCTCGATTTCGAAATATTAGCTTGAAGGTCGCGGTACATTGAGATTGGTATGTTGGCCTTAAAACGCGAAT